TGGTGCTCCATTAACATTAAATCGGACGAAAATATATATGAGAGCAATATCAAAATTTGAAACGATTTTCATAAAATTTTACACACATCATTCTAGAGTACGCCGTGTCAAATTTCGTGCAAATCGAGAGATATATAGTGACTTTGGTGCACCATTTACATTAAATCGGGCGAAAATATATATGAGAGCTATATCAAAATTTGAAACGATTCTCATGAAACTTTACACACATCATTCTAGAGGTAAGTCAGTACGCCGTGCCAAATTTCGTGAAAATCGTTTAGACAAAATCGGACGAAAATATATATGGGAGCTATATCTAAATCTAAACCGATTTATCCCAATTCCAATATGTTTCGTCCTTGGCCCAAACAAATAAGCTGTGCCAAATTTAATCCAATTCGGATCATAAATGCGAACTGTACTTTGTTTACAATTTAACATGGACAGACGGACGGATGGGCATGCGTAAATCGACTCAGAAAGTGAATCTATGCATATTCTCAAAAGGAACTACCTCGTTGCCTTTCGCCTGTTACAAACACATGTACAAAGACATAATATCCTGTACCACAATGTGGTGAAGGGTATAATAAAAATTAGTCTGATTAGATAAAAACGAACATCATCTTCAATATGAAAACGATTTTTTTTTTTCATTCTCATTTAATATAATATTGTTTTCCATTTTATTACAGTTTGAAAATTGTATATATTTAGTAAATAAAATTGACAATAATTTTTTGGTGCATATATTGATTTGACCGATTATTTTCCCCATGGAATATAATATTCGTTTTTATCTAATCAGACAAATTTTTATTAAAGGCAGAGTAAATACATTTCTTTATCGTTTTTTGAACTTTTAAAATAGAAATATGCTAACAAAGACATTTTGTTACTTAAAAAAATCGTAGATTTGGACAAAATGAGAAAATCAATATTCCAAATTTTATAGTTTAAATTTGTACCTTATTTTTATTTTAAACAAATGATACACATTCTCACCCGCCATTCGCACATTTCTAATTAAACACAATACTAATACGCAACCAACATGAAAACTTTGTTCCAAAAACTAAGCGAAAAAAAGTTTTATACATTATTAAAATGACCCCATCCACGCCGTGAGTGTTGTGGCAACGGTGATTGCAATTAGGGTGGAAACTTTCATCAAATATGTGTTAAACTCACATTTTATTCAATGAAATGCATGTTGAAAATCTATTATTTGCAGGGTGGAAAAGTTTTAAGCGTTTACAATAAAACAAAAAAAAAAAAAAAAAAAAGATGCGCAAGGATTAGGAAAAAAGAACAATAAATAGCAACAAAGTGTATTTAAGCCAGGACCTATTACCGAATATTACTTCGAGGACCAAATAGGCTTAATATCAGAGGCGTGAATTAAAAAAAAAATAATGAGGCGTCGATTTTTTAAAAATTATTTTTTGAGTCTTGCAAAAGGCGTGGATTTTTTAAAAAATTATTTTTTGAGTCTTGCAAAAGGCGTGGATTTTTTAAAAAAATATTTTTTGAGTCTTGCAAAAAGCGTGGATTTTTAAATAAAATATTTTTTGAGTCTTGCAAAAGGCGTGGATTTTTAAAAAATTATTTTGGAGGGTCTCCCTCACACAAGGCGTGGATTTTTTAAAAATTATTTTTGAGGGTCCAACTCCAGACAAGGCGTGGATTTTTAAAAAATTATTTTTTGAGTCTTGCAAAAGGCTTGGATTTTTAAAAAATTTTTTTTTGAGTCTTGCAAAAGGCTTGGATTTTTATAAAAATATATTTTTTGAGCCTAGCAAAAGGCGTGGATTTTTAAAAAAAATATTTTTTGAGTCTTGAAAGGGCGTGGATTTTTAAATAAAATATTTTTTGAGTCTTGAAAAGGCGTGGATTTTTAAATAAAATATTTTTTGAGTCTTGAAAAGGCGTGGATTTTTAAATAATATATATTTTTGATTTATTTATTTTTGTTATTTGAATTTTGTCTTGTAAGGGCAGTGATCATTTCAAAGTAATTTTAAGTGATAATTTATTTTTTCGAGCATGATGATTTGCAAAAAAGGAAAGCCAGGAGAAGAACCTACGTACCCACCATTATGCGACGCGTTTCGCCGTTGGTTAAGCGGCTCAAAAGGCGTGGATTTTTAAATAAAATATTTTTTGAGTCTTGCAAAAGGCGTGGATTTTTAAACAAATATTTTTTGAGTCGTGCAAAAGGCTTGGATTTATGATGATGATTTTAATTATATATATATATTTTTTTTTTTGAATATTTTAATTTTCTAGGACCAAAAAAAGCGCGAACTATATAGGATAATTTTCCATAAACTAATTCAACAAAACTCTTCGAAATATTCTGTGTATGGACCACCCTCGAAAATCATTAACAACACTTACTGTCATTAATGAAGTCTCCCTACCCGCCATCATTATTTCACGGGAAACTACAATTTCGACAACAACACGAAGTCAATGAGGGAATAAATAATATTTCCATAAAAAAGTTCATACAAAATGTTACACATACAAAACCCGAATACCCTTCAAATGTTTCCTGCTAACATCAAACATATGTATATTAAAATACATTTACAAATATTGTAGAGAGATGTTCATCACACACACACACACAAATGGCAGAGAAAACTTTTTTCTATATTGCCCTTTTGTTGTTAACTATGCCATTGGGTCCACTATAGTCATACATTGTGGTCTGGTAATAATGAGATTGCATATAGGTTAGAATTTATCTTGTGCTGCTTCATTGTTGCTTTACTGTGGACCACATTTCTTTTCCTGCCAACCAACCAGTTAGCCAACCAACCAACCATTCAGCCAGCCACCCCACCAACCATTGTTGGTGAATGTTTTTGAGAGCTGGAACTAGAGAACTCAACAAAGGACAAAGTAGTTGAAAAACTTTTTGATAATATTCTATTATAATAGTCGTCGGCAAACGAAATGTGTGTTACCGCAACAAAAAGAACGAGAGGACGAACTGCGAACAAGATAACAAAAAAGGCAGAAAGGCAAAACTCCTCACACACACACAGAAAAAGTTCAGCAATAATCTGTTAAATTAATGATGAAAATGTTTTTTATTTAGTTTTATTATAGTGCGAACATATTTTGTTAACATAACTAGAAATGGGGTGGAGGGATGGCTATTATTTCAATTATTTTCTATTAAAGTTGTCGGTTTTGTTGTTGGCAACACCTCATTTAATGTATTTTAACAAAGTAACTTTGTGATCAGTAGTTGAATTGAAAAATGTACAGTGGATGGTAGTACTCAGGATTAACGTTTTTTTGTGAACACATTATGAGAGGGTTGCTGATTTGTCCAATAGCCGAAAAATAATTTTTAAAAAATTCACGCCTTGTTCAATACACGAAAATTAATTTATAAAAAATAAAGGCCTGTTCAATAGCCGAAAAATAATTTTTAAAAAATCGAAGAACTGTTCAATTGCCGAAAAATAATTTTTCAAAAATACACGCCTTGTTCAATAGTCTAAAAATAAATAAAATTTTGCAAACGCAAAATTCAGAAATTTTTAATGGATATTTTTCCTAAAAACCCCCGAAAAAGTGGTCCGATATTGAAGACGCATGGTAGGGAGGAACATCCCCAAAATACTGCAATTAAGAGGTCACAGGTATATAAGGCCATCACCAATATACACAGGTTTTATTTTGGGTGGTTGGGTGGAATTACCGAACATTTGTAGATATCATTATATGAGGTGCTATTCATAATTGAGGACAGATATAGCTCTATTTCGAAACTAACATTATTGCATCAGAATATATTTCTTTACGCTTAATATTAAAAATACCGAAAATCGGTAGGTATCATTATATGAGGGCTAGGCCTAAATTTGGAGATATAGAGTCAAAAAATAATGTTTAAAAAATCCACGCCTTGATATAGAGTCAAAAAATAATGTTTAAAAAATCCACGCCTTGATATAGAGTCAAAAAATAATGTTTAAAAAATCCACGCCTTGATATAGAGTCAAAAAATAATGTTTAAAAAATCCACGCCTTGATATAGAGTCAAAAAATAATGTTTAAAAAATCCACGCCTTGATATAGAGTCAAAAAATAATGTTTAAAAAATCCACGCCTTGATATAGAGTCAAAAAATAATGTTTAAAAAATCCACGCCTTGATATAGAGTCAAAAAATAATGTTTAAAAAATCCACGCCTTGATATAGAGTCAAAAAATAATGTTTAAAAAATCCACGCCTTGATATAGAGTCAAAAAATAATGTTTAAAAAATCCACGCCTTGATATAGAGTCAAAAAATAATGTTTAAAAAATCCACGCCTTGATATAGAGTCAAAAAATAATGTTTAAAAAATCCACGCCTTGATATAGAGTCAAAAAATAATGTTTAAAAAATCCACGCCTTGATATAGAGTCAAAAAATAATGTTTAAAAAATCCACGCCTTGATATAGAGTCAAAAAATAATTTTTAAAAAATCCACGCCTTGATATAGAGTCAAAAAATAATTTTTAAAAAATCCACGCCTTGATATAGAGTCAAAAAATAATTTTTAAAAAATCCACGCCTTGATATAGAGTCAAAAAATAATGTTTAAAAAATCCACGCCTTGATATAGAGTCAAAAAATAATGTTTAAAAAATCCGCCTTGATATAGAGTAAAAAAATAATGTTTCAAAAATCCACCCCTTGATGTAGAGTCAAAAAATAATGTTTAAAAAATCCACGCAAAAATTTATATATTCATAAGAAGTTAAAGGTTAATTGTTTCAAACCTATTACGTATTTAATTTAGAAAAAAGAGTCTAAAGTCATTGTTAATTATAATATTCGAAACTTTGCGGAATTGTCAGTAGAAAAAATCTTGCAGTACAACAACAGACGACGCTCACCAATGACTCTGTGTGAGCAAATAAAAAAACGGACAAACAAAAAACCATAAACAAGCTGCGAGAATAAAAATGAATGAAATCCCCCCAGTTGATTCGGAGCATTACTTCGTGCAAGATGTGTTCTATTGCGGCCCGAGAACGTTTGAAATATGTGAGTACATACATACAAACATACATATCAAAGAGACAATATCGTCGATCGTTTACAATTTGTGATGTCTACGGCCCGATAGCGAACAAGATAGATGCGGTTTATCGCGCTCCCATAAATACTGATAGTTTGATCAACGACCACCGACCGACCACCGGCAGCCAAACAATTGACATCAGCAACATTTTAATCAAATCGATTAATGAATGTTCAGGTTCAGATTTTTTTGTGTTGTGTATTCAATATTTCTTGTGATTTATTCCGATTGTCAAATGGTGAATTGACAATTTATTAAAAGTTCAGAGATTGAATAAATTAGAAAAAGGGGATTTTTTTCTTAGATGAATTCATTTACCGCCACTGATTTGCGTTCGATGAAACTTGAGATTCTCTAGTTGTGTACGTTTATTCTTTTTTCTTGGCGTATATAAGCTCCAGAAATCAGCTTAAAATAATTTTGCAAACAATAGAAGGCATTATTAAATAAATAAATATTTAATTATATTTAATCTGGCGCATTATTACTTTTGGGCTTTGGGTGTGCAACGGAATTGCATTATTATTATTATTATGAAACGTAATACTTTATAATGCTAATTTAAGCACAGTGGTTAAAAACCAAAATAATACAATTTTTTTTAAATTAATTTAAAAAAATCCATACCTTATGTTGGATTCATAAAATAATTTTCAAAAAATCCACGCCTTATAAAAGACTCGAAAAACAATTTTTAAAAAATCCATAGCTTACGTTGGACTCAAAAAATAATTTTAAATAATCCAAGCCTTATATTGGACTCAAAAAAAAGTTTTTAAAAAATAATTTTTTTTTTAAATCCATGCCTTAGGCACGACTTAATTTTTTTTTTTGTAAAAATCCAAGGACTCAGAAAATAATTTTAAACAAATGAAAAAGCGTTAAGATCGGCCGGGCCGAACTTTGGATACCCTCCACCATTGATATACTGACAGGTACTTGAAATGAAAATATAGGGAAAATACCAAAAAGTGGACCTATACCGACATTACGACAAACCTATTATGTAAACCATAATACAAATTTCAAAATGGATAATTATACCCTCAGCCTTATGGCTAATGAGGGTGTATACACTTTGACACGGTGAAAATGTGTCTCATCGAAATATATTTCTTTTAGACCCCGTGTTTCTTTGAACAAAATCCGTTTCAGAAAATTTAGATTTCATCCAAACATTGTCCATCTTACTATTTCTTCTTAATTTAGTTTAATTTCGAAGATGGGGAATATCGGTCCCCTCCTTCTGGTACTTCCCACACAGGGGCTAAGTCTAAATGCGGGTTATAGTTCATTATCGAACCTTACGTTCTAGTTTTTTATCTCGATATCCTCTGCAGGTGAAAAGATTACAACAGAGTCTTAGAACCAAACCCAAAACACAAAACAAATCAGATAACGGTTTTAATATAAAAATGGGGTTATATGGGAACTTCCCCAAAAAGGGGGCGAATATTAATATTTTTGGTGGAGAGATTTGTTACCATATACGACTACAAAATACCAAATTGCAGCGAATTCGTTTGAAAAATGCGCTCAAGAACCCCAAAATACCGAAAATTGGGGGTACCCTTACATGGGGGCTACCCGAAAAAATGGACGTATGTTCATACATTTTTGTGGAGAGATTTGAAACCTATTAAGAACTCAAAATACTAAATTACAACCGATTCGGTGGACAAATACGATTAAGACCCCCAAAATACTGAAAATTAAGAGGTACCGTTATAAGGGGGCTACCAGAGAAAGTGGACCTATATTTATACTTTTTTGTGGAGACATTTAGCACCTCATAGGAACCCAATATACCAAATTTCAGTGAATTCGGTTGAAAAACGCGCTCAAGAACCCAAAAATACCGAAAATTGGGGGGTACCCTTATATGGGAGCAATGCCTAAACGTGGACCGATATATCCTATCTTCGAACTTGACCTGCCTCCAGACAAAAGACAACCCTATGTTTCAACCCAAAATTTCAGCACCCTATCTCAGTTCCTTCAGAAGATAGCGTGATTACAACATACGGACGGACGGACATGGCTCGATCGTCTTAAAATTTTACCCTGATCAAGAATATATATACTTTATAGAGTCGAAAATGAATATTTCGATGAGTTACAAACGGAATGACAAAATTAATATACCCTCCATGCTATGGTGGAGGGTATAAAAATCCACGCCTTATAATAGACTCAAAAAACAATTTTCAAAAAATTCACGCCTTGATATAGAGTCAAAAAGTAATTTTTAAAAAATCCATGACTTAGTAAAGACTCAAGAAAGTATTTTTAAAAAATCCACGAATAAAAAAAAATCCACAATTAAAAATAATTTAAAAATAACTTAAAAATTCTACGCCTCGATATAACCTCAAAAAATATTTTTATTTAAAACTGGTTTGGTAGCACTGTGCCCCAGTAATTATAACAACAAAGAATATTCCCCCTGCCCGACAGTAATGCAGTTTTTCAACACACACACACTCACACAGCATAGTAGCAGATAAGCGCACATGGTACTGTTTTTGTTTTCTTTTATTTATTTACTTAGCAATAGAAACAAATCAAAATAATGTACAACAACAACAACAAAAATGTAAACAAAACAGAATACTTGAAAATACACAAGAACAATAACAACAACACCATCACAAATTGTGTCAATGAGAGTGTTTAAAATTTAAACACAAAAGATAAATAATTGAATGAGCGGACAATTGTATATAGCACTTGGAAAGAGAGTGAGAGCGCGTGAATTATCGTCACTTGTTGTTGGTGAGTCAAGCTACGAAGACCCAGACCCCATCTAATGTTTCTTTGTTCGCTGCGATCATTGGCGGTATCGTCTTAAAAATGGTTTATTGCAGCGTTGTGGTTTTTAGCTACTTGCTGCCTAGTTCAAAAACTAGTTTTTTTTTTCAAATGAGCTAGGAGTAATTAAATTTAAATTGTACAAAGAAAACAAAAACAAATGCCTATTTGTTTAAGCATGTGACATAAAGTGATAAGGGGTCTATGCAGTACAATATATTTAATTACAAATATTTATTAGTTATATATGTCAATTCAATTATAATTATATGAGAGAGTGGATTTTTATACCCTACACAACTATGTTGTCAGTTTGTAACGCCGCAAAATATTGGTCCTAGACCCACCTTTAAGTATACCGATCGTCATATCTCGACTAACTGAGTGAGACATGTGTGTTTTGACAAAGATCGGTGAATATTTAGCGGGTCGAATGGACTTTGACTTTTGTGTGAAAAATTACAAAGTTTGTATTCTATTGCGGATATATTTACCCCCGAATGACATGGACCCCAGAAGTTGACAGTATATCAAAGTGGGGTGTTTGACCTTTAAATTGATACCAATTATATTGCCGTATGTACTCGGATGTGGGAGTTACACTTAAATATTTACAGGTACTTACGTATTCATACATTATTTAGAAACCCATGACCACACTAGAGGACGGAAATATAGAGCTGATCGCTTTAACATTTTTCATGAGGATTCAGGTTTGGACAAGAACAACGCCTATAATTTTCGGTGGTGATCAGATAATAATATTGGGAAGAAGTGGACTGAAAACAATTTTTTTTTCGAGTCGATCTATAGGCCACAATTGAACTCCGAACATCACAACACAACCCACGGTGAAGGGAATCTGGACAAGTAGTTAGAATGGCTGTACTGAATATTTGTAATATTTGTTGACATCTAATGGAGCAACAGGGTGCAAATATCGCGAAATATTGTCCAAGCTCAGAATGTAGTGGAAGTTGTGTAGGGTATCATATGGTCGGCATGTCCGACTATACTGCTCCGCTCACTGGTTTAAAAAAATTTTTTTAGACACTATATCAAGGCGTGGAGGGTGGCTCACTGGTTTAAAAATTATCTTTTGTCACTATATCAAGGCGTGGAGGGTGGCGTAAAGGATGATAGATATCAAGCAACGGCTCTGATTGCATTTAACATGGCGAAGTCCAAGATTATCTTGGTACCTCTTTCATTCCAATTGCGGACACTGACCTCCCCGCGGTGTCACCTGGGGTAGCTATTTTTCATCACCCGTTGAAATAGTGAGCTAATATGTGCCACGAGTTCACCCATAGAACTATAAAAAATGGGTTTAGGCGTCGGGCTAGTTGCCCACACTCGGAAAACCCCTTCTACTATGAAAAAGCAAAGAAAATGAAAACCAAACCCCATTAATGTTGAAGACCCCCGCAAACCTATAGAGCACCACGATCTGCGAATCTGCACTTGGACTATGCGCACCTTGTACAGAACAGGCGCAGTTTTCGCTTTGGCGGATGTACTGGAGAAGTACAAAGCCGATATTATTGCCTTACAGGAAATGTGATGGAAAGGGACAGGTGTAAGTAAATCAGAAGATTACGCCCCGTATTATAGCTGCCATGAAACGAGACATGAATTTGGCTGCGGATTTATAGTTAACAGGAGAATAAAATACCTCGTCTCCAGATTCACTCCAGGAAATGAGCGAATTGCTTTAATCCGTATAAAAGCGAAGTTATTCTATACCAGTCTTATTTGCGCCCACACTCCGACCGAAGACAAAGATGAGCTGACCAAAGATATTTTATGAGCGTCTAGAAACTACATATGATCTCTGCCCTGGCCATTACATTAAAATTCTGCTAGGAGATTTTAATGCAAAAATCGGAAGGGAAAATATCTTTGGCCTTTCCGACGGAAAATTCAGCCTTCATGAAGAAACATCCGACAACGGCATGGCGTTGAAACATACTGCAGCAAAAGCAACACCTGGGTACCAAAAACCACCACCAAGAAACCAGTGGTACGATCATAAGTGTCGTAATGATACTGATCTGAAAAACGTAGCGTATAGGGCAACACTGCATACACTAGAACACGTAATGTGATGGAGAATTATCGGTAAAAAAGGAAAAACGTTTTTCAAAAAAAA